AGATGCACCTTGGGAGAGGGAACACTCTTAAACTAGAAGAGGAAGAAGAGTGTTTCATAGTAGAATCCATCCTACCATGGTGGGGGTAGGTAGGGCAGAGGGACAATAATTCAGGACAAGATCTATGTTACTGTATGGCAGGGGGTATACACATTTTAAATAGTTATTTATTTGAAAGGCAGTGCATGGGGCTGGCATTGTGGTGTAGCAAGTAATTGGGCCCTGCACCCACACGGGAGACCCGGATTAAGCTCTTGGCTCCTTGGCCTCAGCCTGACCCAGCCCTGGTCATTGTGGCCATTTGGGGAGTGAACCAGCAGATGGAAGATCTGTGTGTGTGTGTGTGTGTGTGTGTGTGTGTGTGTTTCCACTCTGCCTTTCAAACAAATAAATAAATGTTTAACAAAAAAAAAAAAAAAGAAAGAAAAAAGAAAAGAAAAGAAAAGAAAAGAAAAGAAAGAAGGATAGGGTGACAGAGAGAGATCTTCCATTTGCTGGTTGACTCCTAAATGGGTGTAATGGCCAGGGCTGGTCTAGGCTGAAGCCAACAGCCAGGTCTCCATCCTGGTCTCCCGCATGGATAATAGGGGCTGAAGTACTTGGGTTATCTTCCACTGCTCTCCCAGGCACATTAGCAGGAGCTGGAGCAGAAGTGGAAGAACTGAGACTGAAACCAGTGCTTTTATGGGATGCTGGGGTCATAAGCAGCAGCCTCACCGCGTGCCATAGTGCTGGTCCTAGATTGGGGTATATTCTTAGGGCAGCTCTGCTGGGAGGAACGGGTCACAGGGTGACAGTGTGTTGTATGTCGCTGGGGAGAACTGTGATTCTATCCAGAGCTGGTGAGAGGCCACCAGGGTTCACCACCGTGCCTTCTGCCTTGTGCCTGTGACAGGTTGGTTGACTGAAGGTGGCCAGATCTTTATTTAAAATCAAGAAATCAGGCTGCTGCAGCGAACTCTCTTAGTAACACTCCACTCAGGACTGCATTTCCCCTGAGTGCAGATCTGCCCCCCTGGGAGACACCCATCCCTCCGGGGAGGCAGATGTGTGTGCAGTAGTGGTTGAGGCGGGAGGGGCGGGGGTGACCACATGAAAAGTGGGGACTGGGAGGAGGTGCGTTTGCAGCTCTCTGCACAGAGCTCCATGGAGCCCTGACAACGCGGGGCTCGCACTATGCACTATCCCTCAGGGGGGCAGGACTGGGAGAGAGGACTCTGGGTGGGGGAGGCAGTTGGAGGGGGGGCGAGAAGTTCCTCAGGGCGCAGAGACCCTATGCAAGGCTGCCTCAGCCTATGAGCCCACCCTCCTCTAGGCCGTTTGGGGGTGCAGTAATTTTCTCTTGAGAAAACAAATTGATGCCTATTGGATGCTTTTTCCATGACAGGTGGTTTTGGTTTTTGTTTTGCACATAGTGCATCATTTTAATGTAACCGTCCACCAAAATCCTTTCAAAGGCGAGAGTCCGGGACTCGCTGATGTGACATTTAAGCAGCGTCTCGGGCACGGCTGTGATCCTGGAGCAGGATCCGAACCCCGGGCCCCAGGCGCTTCTGCGTGACCTCCGAGTGACCCCGGCCCTGAGGTGAGGCGGCTCAGCTCCGGGGAGGCCACGGCCAGGGGGCGCCTGGCGCCTCGCGACTCCTCTCCTCAGCCTCGGGGCCCGGCGCTCCTCAGAGCCTCATTCCGGCATCTCCTCAGCACAGGCTGGCGGGCCGCCGACGGAATGGCCGCCGGCTTCCCACTGCCCCGCTTCCCCCATATCGGCCCTTTGGCATCTCTGCAGCCCCTTGAGGCCCTCCTCCATTGCTTCCCGACTTCATTAAAACGCAACTGCCCTCTCGTCGTCCGCGAGTCTTTCCCGCCTAAATTTTTCTTTTTTTTTTTTCTTTGCTCAGGGAGCCTGGTCCTCTGGCTCCTGTATCGAGAGTGTCCCCTCTAACCGCCGGGACAACCCTGCAAGGCATACGGCATCGTGGGCTCCCCGGCGGGAGAGGTGAGGGGGTCAGCCCGGCCCTGCCTGGCTCGCTCGCTGCCCCTTCATGTTGCCTGGGGACAACGTGCTACAGTTCCTTCCTCAGGCGCACACGCCCACTGGCCCGGCCCTGCGCATCCCCATTGGCTGTGGGCGGCCGGAGACAGGGCTCTGATTGGTTGCCGCTGGGTGCCGAGGTGCCAGGCGGGTTTTCTGCCTGGAGCTCCCCACAGGGGCGCGCGCGGTCCGGGGGTGACCGCGGTCGGGGCTCGTGCACGGGTGTCCAGCTCCTTCCGTGTGTGAGTAGCCCCTAAACTCTGCCCTCGGGCTGCTCTCCAGAAAGGGGCGCCCGTGGGTGTGTGAGCGTGCGCGCCTTCGCGAGTGGAGGCTTTGCAAGGCACGCCAACGGTGGGCATTCAGATCTGGGTTCGAATCGGAGTCTGTGCAAGTCGCCGCGACTCGGGACGGTCTGGAGAAAGCCTGTGGCTTTGTGTTTTCCTAGCCTGATCTGCACAGAGTTACAGGCAGTGGCCTCGGGGTTGCAATGCCGCCGCGTGGCCCGGTGTGTTCCGTGTTTGCCCAGGGGTTGCTGAGGAGAATGGGTTTCGAAGGCTTTGGAGAGGGAAGCTTAAACATGACTGGAAGTTTCTCTGAAACCTGAGGTTAGATCATATATATTTTTTAAGGCTAGGAAGTTGTTGGTTTGGGGGTTTTTCTTTTGCTTTGCTGTAGAGATAAGAAATAATGCAAAAATGGCGTAGGACTGCGTGGGTCTACGCAAGATGCCATTTTACTCAGTGCAACGGTCTTCTAACTCTGTGCGGCTGAAAGGGAGGTTCTGCTCGCCCAGGTGACCGCCCGGAACCCCCGAGGTTTTTGGGGGAGGGGGGCGAGTACAGAGCCGTGACCATCCCGAATTGCCTAGCGTTATCCGGGCTCCCGTCTCCGGCAGGACGCGTGGGCTTTGCACAGAGAAAGTGCTCGCTACACACCAGTCCGCGGAGCTGCAGCCCCCAGAATTCCTTGAGAGGCTCCGTGGCCGGTTCTGTCCGAACAGGAGCAGCGCGTGCCCCGGATGCTCACCGGATCGTGCCCCTGACCTTTGAAGAGGGAAACACTTTAGACTGCAGGCTAGGAATTTTCACCTCCTTTATGCAAAAATTTGAGACCTAGTGACTTACCCAGTGCCACACGGCTGGCTAACGTACAGTTAGGTGATGACCAGCTCTCAGCCAGACCATAATCCTGTGTGCCTTTCTCTGCACCAGCTCACCCGCTGGCCACATGCCATCTGTGAGCATGCCCCAGCGTCAGCCCACCCCCCATCCCCCCTCCCCCACCCCAGCCCGGCCTGGAGTTCTTAAGACTGACTTCCTTCAAGCTGCTAGCCTACACCCCTGCATCCCGGTGCCTCTGCCCATCCCTGTGCCTTGGAGATTTGTCTGAGTGGTCCAGGGCCCTAGTGGCTGTAGTCTAGGAGAAGCCATCAAGACAGGGAGTGTTTGAGTGGCCCACTTATGCTTGACGTGGTACTGCACCCTTGGCGAGACACCTCTGATACTTGGTACACAGATCTCGACCAAGGATCTTGCTAATTGATCGCAAAACAAGGTTAAATTAGAGACCAGGTCTCTAATTTAGAGGATGTGGAACTTACTCTGGGCTTGGAAAGACAAGTTGGTTCCAGATGGGTAGAAAGAGGGGGTGAGAGGCAGAGAGTGGTGGCATGACAGGTGGCAGGAAAAACACTGTGCTGTGAATCAGAGGTTGAGCGGGAGGGTAACAGTTTCTTATGTTAAAGAATAGAAGTGACAGGAAGGGGACATTGGGAGATTCTGAGCTTTCAAGGCTATTAGAATGTAGACTTGCAGGCCCTCGGGGTAGGGTTCCAGGCTCTGTGCTGTCTAATTCCCATACTGCTGGCACGGTCTCTTTAACACACTGCACCTGCAGAGGGCTTCTAGGAGAAAAGATTTTGTTTATTTTTTTTATCTATTTATTTGAGAGGGAGGGAGGGAGGGAGGCTTGAGCCTAGCCCAGCCCCAGCTATTGTGGCCATTTGGAGAGTGAACCAGCAGGTAGAAGATCTCTGTATCTGTCTCTCTGATGTAGCCAAACTACAGAAGAACTTGTTTGATTTTAAATATCCTCCCCCTAAATGCTTATATATTTATTCATTTGAAAGGCAGAGTTTCAGAGAGATGAAGAGAGGGAGAAAGAGAGCGAGAGAAAGCCAAAGGCCAGGAACTTCATTCTGGTCTCCCAAGTGGGTGGCAGGGGCCCAAGCACTTGGGCCATCTTCCACTGCCTCCCTAGGCACTCAGCGGGTAGCTGGATCAGAAGTGGAGAGCCATTCATGAGAGCAGAGCCCTGCTGGCCTGAGCACCTCATCTCTTAACACTGTTACAGTGGCGGTTTTGGAGGGGATGTTGAAACCGTAGCATCCTGACGTTTTCAACAGTCCCCCTGGGTGACTGACATACATCCTCTGGCCAAGGCCAAGCATTGTTCCTGTACCAAGGGCTGAGCCCAGGCAAGAGCAGACCCAGCAGAACCCACTGTTCTCGTTCATCCGGGGCTCCCACATTGAGTGTCTATCAAGGCCGGCTCTGTGCTAGGCACCAGGGTCTAGGGATCACAAAGACGCAGCCCCTCTGTTCAAAGACTTGGCAAGGCGGTGGGGAGAAGTTCTCAGGGGCAGGGGAGGGGCGGTGAGCACCCAATTGAGAGCACCCCTGGCTCAGGGGAGAGACCCCTGGTCTCTGTCTCTTGTTAACACTCTTAAACATCAGTCCCAGAGCCGCCACACCTAGGGAAGAGCTGGTTTGTAAGCTCAGAGGTGACAAAGGACGACACAGTGACCATCTTCAGAACGCACTAGGAACTTGGCTGTGAGGGGTCAGGTGACTTCTTGCTCTCACAGGTGGCAGGTGCACTCGCTTCCTTTCTGTCCTTGGAATGTGTGACATATACACGAAAAGTTCAGGAATCTAAGGTGTCCACCCTGATGGTTTTTTTTTTTTTTTCATATGTACACACCTTTGTCACCACTCCCCAGAGCAAAGGGAGGCATATTCTGAAGGTAGGAAAGGCCTCCCAGGGCGGGACAGTTCAGATTCATCTTTGAACAGACAGAAACACGGGATCTCAGGGCACGGCTGCTCGCCCGGGCCACAGAAATGAACAGCTGTCTGGTGAGTATCTTCAAAGCTCTGGATTCTTCCAGAGGTCAGCGCCAGTGCCCAAAGCCCAATATGGGCGGCTCGTGCCTTATTTCGAGAGTTGAGCCTCAATAACAAATACTGTGTCATCCGCGACTGATCCTGGTTCTGTTATTGATCGTATTCATTGGTTTGGGGTCCTTGGCTTGGGAGGGGTAGCACCTTTCCACCTGCTTCAATCTGCCTTCCTTTTTCTTTAATCTTGTATCTCTTATTAGGGCACAAACGGAAAATCATAATATTACATTGCAGCTCACCATGGAGGCCCCCGGAGAAGGCAGCAGCCCCAGTGCCATAGTGACACCCCAGGCGCCGGCGCTGCCGTTGCAGACTCGAGTGGCCCGGAGACGCCTGTCCCAGGCCCGCCACCGAGCCACCCTGGCGGGACTGTTCAGCAGCCTCAGGAAGGCGGTTTACGCCCAGTCTGACCTCACGGCCTCTAAGGTAGGGGGACCTGGCTGGGGGGCAGAGAGGTTTCTACATTGCTGCTTTTATAGCGGTGCTGACGCCCTCCCGAGGAACTGTGGAGTGAGACAAAGCCTGGCCAGTAGCTGTGCCCCACCCCGGGGGGCTGGAGCCTGGATGTGGTCAGTGGTCAGCCGTGGACGCCTCCTGGAGCTGTGTTGGGAGCCCCAGCACCAATTCCGCATGGACATCAAAGGATGCCTCGCCTATAACCGTGTAAAGGACGCAGTATTGTCGTTTGTGTCTTAAAACGTTCCTGTCGCTATTCTCCAGTGTGCTACCTCCTTTGCTCCCCACACTCGGTGCGTATCAGCCCCGAGTTACACATCAGGAGACGGAGGCCCTGGGAGTTGAAAGCGCTTCCCGTGATTGGCATTGCCAGGAAACAGCCTGGAACCAGGGCGGCTTCTGCGCTCTCCTGACCCCTGGGAGGGACAAACCCAGGATTTTGCACAAAGATAGGATTTGTTCTACAAGAGTAAGAAGGTCTTACTAGGTCCCTAGGGTTGCCCAGGCAATATACTGGACACTGAGTGGCATCCTCTATGGTGGAAGGGGGGAGCAAGCTCCCTTGGGCCTTTTGCCTAAGGGCTCTGCCCTCGGGTCTTCATCACCTCCCCAAAGGCCCCGCCTCCTCATACCATTACATTTCAACAAAGAAATTTGGCAGGAGGGATGATGGTGACATCATAAACATTCAGACCATAGCACCCTAGAACAAGCCCAAGATTCTGATGGGGTGGGTGCTGTGGTGTAGTAGGTAAAGCTGCCACCTGCAGTACCTGGCCCAAGTCCTTGGGCCCCTGCACGTGCGTGGGAATCCCAGAAGAAGCTTCTGGCTCCTGGCTTCAGATTGGCCTAGCTCCGGCCGTTGCAGCTATTTGGGGAGTGAACCAGCAGATGGAAGACCTGTCTCTCTTTCTTGCTCTCCCTTTCTGCCTCTGCCTCTCTGTAAATCTGCCTTTTAAGTAAATAAATAAGCAAACAAGCAAAAAGAAACAAAAGATTCTGGCAAGTTCGTCCCTGATTCCAAGCCCTCGCTGACCCAATGGACAGCGTTCTCCTGAGCTCCAGGGCTAGGGACAGCAGGATGTGCAGGAGCGTGGGGTGGAAAGTGCTTTAAAAGGAACAGTCAGAGATCCTTTTGTATTACTGGGGTTGGGGGGAGAGGGGGAGGGAGAGGGAGGGGGGAGGAGAGGAGGGGGAGGGGGAGAGAAAATGCTACCGCCCGTGGCTGTTTTTCCTTCCCCTTTGGGTCTATAGTGTTCCAGCTCCCCCAAACCTCCTGAAATTTCAGGCAGCAGCCAGAATTCATAGGAAGCCAGAAAGGCACGACCCGGGCTGCCTCCCCCTAGCAGCCCCACGCTCAGGCCACATCTCACTGAGCGAGGTCTGCCTCTCCTGGCCTCCTGGCCTTCCCCCCTCATGCAGTTAGCTCTGCCTTTGGGATGCTCTGCCCACGTCAGGGCTCCACTGGGCCCACTCTGCCCAGCTGTCCCACTCCAAGCCGTCTTCTTGACCCTCCCATTGGCGTCCCCCACCCCCCACACCTTGTATGCTTCCCCAGCATTCGCTTCTACCGCCATCTCAGCACTGACGTAACTCTACCTTTCCTGTCTTCCCCGGTAGATGTCGGCGCCCTGAGAGCAGGGACTATCTGTGCACGGGGTCCCAGGGCTCATCTCACAGCCTCACCCTTACACAGGCTGAGACCTGGTCCTAACTGCCCACAGGTCGCAGTGGTCAGCCCAGGAAATAGGGGTGCTTCTCCTCTTATAATCTAATCCTGCGGTTACCATTTATCATTTTGACTTTAATGATGTTACATAGTAGCAGGAAGGAGGGAAGGGGAGAAGGAAGGAAGAGGGGGGAGTGAGAGGGATTAGAGAGAGGGAGAGGAAAGGGCAGAGATTCAGAATTCGAGTGGACAGCATTTTTTTAAAAAACATTTATTAATTTGAAAGGCAGAGTGACAGAGAGAAAGACAGAGATCTTCCATCCACTGGGTCACTTCCCAAACGGTTGCAATGGCTAGGGTTGGGCCAGGCTGAAGCCAGGAGCCTGGAGCTCCATCTGGGTCTCCCAGTGGGAGGCAGAGACCCAAGCACTTTGGTCATCTTCTGCTTTCCCAGGCACATCAGCAGGGAGCTGGATCGGAAGTGGAGCAGCTGGGACTCGAACCAGCAATCATATGTGATAGTGGAGGTGCAGGCAGGAGCTTAACTACGCTGCACCACAATGCTGGCCCCACGTTGACAGCAGTTGATAAGATTTCATAACATGTGGAATATATGCATTTGGCAACACATACATATATGTAATGAGAATCAGTTTCATAGTAACCAACCAGTTGCACACTGAGACAGCCTGGAGTTGACATCTCTCTGGCGGGGGCTCCTTAGTGTCCCCCCTTCCACCTTCCAGCAGCCTGCCAGGTGTTTAACTTTCTACAGCGCTAGACGTCAGCTTGATTGCTTTCGAATACTTGGGTTTGTCTGTGAAAATCCACCTCTAGCGTATAAAGTCACCTCCTTGCTATCCATTGCACTGAGAAGGTGAGGGACTGTGACTACGTATGGAAGAGCATGGCCTCAGCCCAAGGGAGTGGTTCCAGGTCCCCCAAAACCAGTCTCTGCCCTGAAAGGCTGATCTTCTCGCATTGAACGCCTCTGTTCCCAGTGGCAGGTCCTGAATCAGGCGAAGAATCATATTCAGGAACTGGAGCACACCCTGGACAGTTTGCTGAAGCAGAAAAGTAAGAGACCCCTCCCCGGAGAAGGCCGGTTGGGTTTTTCTATGAAACATGGGGAGATTGGTTACACTGAGTCCACAGTGCTGTGTGCCCAGCACTGTGCTTGATCTAAGATGGAGACTGATGCTCTGTCGTTGGGGAGTCTCCAGCCAGGCAGGATGGGCAGGAGTCACCAGACTGTGAGTTTGGTGAGCTCCTTCATGGGAAGCTGAGGAAGGCACCTGATCTCTGGAGAGGCCAGAGAGGAAGGGGGACTGGGCAGCCGTGGTGCCAGCCCTCAGACAGCGGAGAAGTGCACGCTAGGCTCTGGACTTCTGAACACTGAACCGAGGGAGCCTGTACCCCACGCATGATCTCCCAAGGCCAGAGAGGCAGGAGAGACTCAAGAGAGGCACGGAACTTCCCGTTGTCAATCTTGCCTTTGATTCCTCCACAGACTCCTTCAACCTGAAGGATGAGCACGCAAGCACCTTAGAGGAGGTCAAAGAAGAATATGCCAGGATATACTCTGCAAATGACAGGTAAGACCCCACAGGCGCCATGAGCGGGGGCCCCGTCACTGTGCACCCGCCGCCTGGATGCTGGGTTACAGCCACTCGTCCTCCCCTCACAGGCCTGTGCTGCGTGCACGTGGTCCTGTTCTCTCTGATCCTAATAACGCGCATTGCCCACCCCCTTATAAACATGGTCCATGCTTATTATAGAAGATGTAGAAAATCCAGAAAAGCCTGGAAAGATATCAGCTCATCAATAAGAAAAGCAATGAATTTTGAAAGATATCCATCTTGTTTTTTCGAAGAAATTACATGATAGCATTCATGTATTGTAGCTTTTTCTTTATGTATTGTTAAAGGCTTGTTTATTTATTTGAAAGGCAGAGTGACACAGAGACAGAGAAAGAGAGATCTTTCATTTGCTTTCATGCACTTCCCAAATGGCTGCAATGTCCAGGACTGGACAGGCCAAAGCCAGGAGCCTGGAACTCTGAGTCTCCCTTATGGGGGCAAGGATCCAAACTCTCGGGCCAGCCTCTGCTGCCTTCTGGGGAGCATTAGCAGGGAGCTGGATCAGAAGAGGAGCAGCCGGGACTCAGACCTGTGTTTGTATGGAACGCCGGCATGGGAGGTGGTCACTTGACCCACTGTGCCATAACACAAGCCCTTCTTTATGTATTTTTAAAAAAAAACCTCAACAAATGACTTTATTGGAGGATGCGTATTAACATCGGAAAAATATAACTCTCAATCTACTTTCTGAACTGCACAGAGACCTTAGAAAAGCCAAATTAGACTTCAGAGAAGAGAAGGAGCCCCAGCACACACAGGGTCATAGAGGCATCCGAACTTTGAAAGAGAATCTGAATTGAGAACTGTCATTCTAACACTTTCGTGAACTGTACCTCTCGTGGATGTGATGTGTGTGTGTGTGTGTGTGTGTCTGTTACTCTGCTCTTAAAGGCAGGAGTGGCCCTGTGCTGCCTCTGCATACTGCAGTGCTGCGTGACAGCAACCTGGACCTGGACAGTGGCCGGGTTTGCCATCCCCCGAGGCCCCTGGGCTTGTCCGGCTCTAACGGTGTGGTTTACACCCAGGCTGGGCTCTGTTGAGACAGAGAGTACAAGCCGTACCCACCCTGCTCTGGGTAGGGTGATATCGTTTCTGAATGTTTTTGGTAGGGTCATTTTTTTAAATAATTACTTTTTATTTGAAAGGCAGAGTGACAGAGGAAGAGGCAGAGACAGAGAGATAGATCTTCCATCTGTTGGTTCACTCCCCAAATGGCCACATCAGTCAAAGTTGAGACAGAAATTCCTTTCAGGTCTCCCACGCGGGTGGCAAGGGGCCCAAGTACTCGGGCCATCCTCTGCTGCTTTCCCAGGTGCATTAGCAAGGAGCTGGGCCTGAAGTGGAGCAGCTGGCACTTGAACTGGCACTTGTCTAGGGTGCCAGCATGCGATGGCTTAACCCAGTTTGCCACAACACTGGCCATGGTGGGGTCACTCTTGACTTTTCTTTTCTATACTTTTTGGTGTCTCCTCCCACCCTTTTTTATTTTTTAATTTGAGAGGCTGAGACACAGAGAACTCCCATCCACTGAGTCACTTATGAATTGCCCTCAGTGGTTGCAGCTGGGCCACCCCTAAACTCGGAGCCAGGACCTCAATCCAGATATCCCATGTGGGTGGCAGGGACCCAACTGCCTGGGTTCTTACCACCGCCTCCCAGGGTTGCTGGAAACCAGAGCCAGCGCTGGGGCTTGAGATCAAACACGTCAACATGGGATGCGGGCACCTTAACTGCTGAGCTAAATAACTGCTCCTGTATCTTCCAGAGTTTAAGACAATGAATGTTATTATATCCTAAGGGAAATAATCAGGAAAAAATATTAAACGATTAAAAGTTAATGGGGCTGGTGCTGTGGTGTGGCAGGTAAAGCTGCCACTTCCAGTGCTGGCATCCCACATGGGCACCAGTTTGAGTCCAACTGCTCCACTTCCGATCCAGCTCTCTGCTATGGCCTGGGAAAGCAGTGGAAGATGGCCCAAGCCCTTGGGCCCCTGCACCTGTGTGGGAGACCTGGAGGAAACTGCTGGCTCCTGGCTTTGGATCGGCTCAGTTCTGGCCATTGCAGCCATTTGGGGAGTGAATCAGCGGATGGAAGACCTTTCTCTCTGCCTCTGCCTCTCTGTAACTCTGTCTTTCAAATAAATAAATAAATCTTTTTTTTAAAAAAAAGTTAAGTAAAATTTACATTGTAGATAATGTGAAAATACAGAAAATAATTACCTATCATCTCACTTCATACAGACAGCTTTAAACCATTGTAGTCACAGAATGGAGGAGGGAGGGAGGTGAAAGAGGAATCTTCAAAAAGTCCATGGAAATGCTTATTACACAAAAACCATGTGTGTATTTCTTTTTTCACTTTCACTTTTTTTTTTCATTTTCTAGGTTTTGGTGTTTTTTTGTGTGTGTGTGTGTTTTTGTTTTTGTTTTTGGTTTTTTTTTTTTTTTTTTTGACAGGCAGAGTGGACAGTGAGAGAGAGAGAGACAGAGAGAAAGGTCTTCCTTTGCCGTTGGTTCACCCTCCAATGGCCGCCGCGGCCAGCGCGCTGCGGCCGGCGCACCCCGCTGATCCGATGGCAGGAGCCAGGTACTTATCCTGGTATCCCATGGGGTACAGGGCCCAAGCACTTGGGCCATCCTCCACTGCACTCCCTGGCCACAGCAGAGAGCTGGCCTGGAAGAGGGGCAACCGGGACAGAATCCGGTGCCCCAACCGGGACTAGAACCCGGTGTGCTGGCGCCGCAAGGCGGAGGATTAGCCTAGTGAGCCGCGGCGCCGGCCCCATGTGTGTATTTCAAAACTTTCTTGCACCAAGATAAACTTATCTTTTAATGCTATTTTCCACAAACTTTCTACTATGTGGTAAGTGTACATGGCAGTATGTTGGTACTTATGTTTTAAAAATCAGCCTTGGGGGCTGGTGTTATGGCATAGCAGGTTAAGTCACCGCCTGTGATACTGGCTTCCCACCCATTCTGAGATTTATTTAGCTGTTTGTTTGAAAGGCAGATCATCAGAGAGAGAGGGAGAGAGACAGATCTTCCATCCACTGATTCACTCCCCAGATGGCCACAACAACTGGCACTGAGCCAGGCTGAAGCCAGGGATCAGGAACTCCACCCTGGTCTCCCACAAGAGTAGCAGGGACCCAAGCACTTGGGCCACTCTTACTTGCTTTCCCAGGCACTTTAGCAGGAGGCTGGATGGGAAGTGGACTAGCCGGGACTCGAACTGGCACTCCGATATGGGTAGCTGATATTGTAGCGTGGCTTAACCCACTGCACTGTGCCACAACATCAGTCCCTGTTTAATCATCTTAAAAGCAGTTTTTGAAGAGCAGAATTTGAAAAGGTTGCTGAGTCCAACTTACCCGTTTCCAAAAATAAAGATAGAGCTGTTGGTTTAAGCCTAAGTATGCCATGGTTTTTCATGTTATTAGAAAGAGGACTTAAGATTTTCTGCATTTCCAGTTGTTCACTGCCAGTAGATGAAAGTACAAGCACTATTGATTTGTGTATTTACCTTTCATTTTACAGCTCTGCTGCTACGTTCTAGCTCTCAGTCCTAGTTCTTGGTTCTAGTCACGTGTTTACAGATTCTTTGGGATTTCCAAGTATTTGTCTGCAGATAAGGACGGTTTTACTTCTTCCTTTATAACCTGCATTCCTTTTATTTCTTTTGCTTGCCTTATGAGACGGGCTAGAATCTCCAGTACGATTCTTAATATCCGCGAGACTGGGCACCCTTGTCTTGTTCCTGCTCTCAGGGGAGAAGCAGCTGTTTTCCCATTAGATGGGGTGGTAGGTGCAGGGCTCTGTAGCTGCCCTTCACCATTGCGGAAGCTGCTGAGTTCTTAATCATCAGTAACGTTGGGTTTTTTTCCTGCATCGACTGAGACGATCATATGGTTTTTCTTCTTTAGTCAATTTGGTAATTACCGTTGGCATTCAAATGTTGAACCAGCCACCTGGATAAAGCCTTTGGTCTTGAAGTATTCTCCCTTTGTGATCTATAGAGCGGGGTTATATATATTATTGTTAACACTGAGTTAAGAATTCCTATGTATGTTCGTGAGCAGTATCACTCTGCCATTGTCTCGGTTTCGCCCCAAACCTGGTCCCAAACAGCTTTGCTCAGAATGGCTCCTTTCTCTGGTGCCCAACTGAGGTGGCCGGGAAAGATGTTAAAGAGGAGGAAGCAGTGGAAGAAGAGGACCAAGAGGAGGAGGAGGAGGAGGAAGAAGAAGAAGAAGAGAAGGGAGAAGAAGAGGAGGAAGAGGAGGAGAAAAAAGTGGAGTTCTTGCACCCCCCTGACACCGTGTCTCCAGATCTCATGGAATTTGAACGGTGTGAACAGCCGGGTGGGCGGGGGTGTGCACCCACGGAGCTCCCGTGGGGAAGGGGCAGGATGGGGTGTGATTCAGACCAGACCCTGATTCTTGGATGCTCCAGAGTTTGCATAGAGGAGGGGCTTGGGGTGGGACTGGCACAGGGGCTAGGGAATCAGTCTTGAAGCTACAGTTGATTAGCATATACGCTGTTTGTACTGAGACTGGGTGTTCAGTTGGGATGCGTTGAGGGGCACTTGATGGTGATTTTGAGGGCTAACCATCACCCCCTACACACACACACACACACACACACAGGCATGGGCCCCACAACTCTGCTTTCAGCAGCTTCATTGATCTCATAGCAACAAAGGAGGTGAATGACTGGCTTGGACTTCCTTTGCCATCACCTTCTGCACAGACACAAGACCCCTCGGTAGCAATGTTGGCGTCCAACATTGGTGGCCCAATAGAAGGACTCTCACTCCATAACTGAGCCTGGCCTGCAGGTCCCAGATAAGTCTGGGAATTATATCACGCTGGCACATTTGTGACCCCGGAACGTTAAGGACTTTTTCCCATAGAGCAAAGAGCTGACCAGCCATGCCTCTCATCTACAGAGCAGAGAGTTTCATGGGGCAGGGAACTGGGAGGACGGGCAGCACGAACCCACGTGCGTCACTGCCCCTAAGATGGCATCAGCCCTTCCATGGTCTAGTGAGTGAGGCTGGCTACTAGTAGGCCATGGAGCCGTGGCAAGGACTGCATGCTGTGGACCGTGCCACGAAGGCTGTCTCGGGGATCCGGCGTCAGGTCTGAGACCGGGCACCCCTTGTGTTCCAGGTATCTCAGCTTTTACAAGCAGACCATGGACCTTCTGACCGTGAACGGGATCATCGCCCCACAGGACGTGACGCTGCCCGTGGTCTCTGCCGCCATCTCCCACCTGTGGCAGACCTTCTCCGAGGAGAGGAAGGCCAGCATCCTGCAGGCCTGGATGCAGAAGCAGAGTGATCTCCCGGACCCGCAGGGGGCCTACCAGGGGCTGCTCTGTGTCCAGGACAGTGGAGTGGACAGCCAGGAGGCCACCTTCTCCCTGATCTCCACCCCGGAGGAGGTGAGCAGAGCACAGGCGGCCTGTGGGGTGCACGGAGAGAACTGCATCTCCTCAGCCCAGGTGTGCCAGGGCTCGGCTGGGGCCGTGCGGCGAGGCCAAGGGCTGTTTGGGTTCTGGCTCGCACAGCAGCTTTCTGATTTGTCGCAGCGTCGCCTCCATGACCACTTCGTAGCATTCCTTTCCCTCCTGTTGGTCTCCTGGCCTTTCAGCGGGGAGGGTAGAACAGGCTTTGAAGACAGCACCCGCTGGGATTCTCTGGGCTGTGACTTCTTGTCAGGCAGCCTTCTGCGGGTGACTGGGTCCTTAGATGTACTGCTCGCACCAGGGAGGCCCCGCTGGATTCGGGCTCTTCCCTTTTGTCTGCTCTGCTCACTTCTTGTCCTTGCTTCCTCTCTCTGCCTCACCCACCCCGAGGCTGTGGCAAGGCAGCTGCAGCAACCGAGCTGTCACTCTTAGCCTGCGAAGGCTCTTGAGAGTCAAGTAAGAATTTTTCCAGAAACTTCCACCATCCCTCTCCTCCCCTCTCCTTGGCCAGAACTGGCCAGATTGCCATGAGCTGAAGACTGGCAATCAAGAGAGAATCGGGACTGGTGCTGTGGCACAGAAGGGTAAGCCTCCAACTGCAGTGCTGGCATCCCATGTGGGCGCCGGTTCAAGTCCCAGCTGCTCCACTTCCGATCCAGCTCCCTGCTAATGCACCTGGGAAAGCAGCAGAGGATGGCTGAAGTCCTTGGGCCCCTGCATCCATGGGGGAGACCTGGAAGAAACTCCTGGCTCCTGGCTTCAGTCTGACCTAGCTCTGGCCATTGCAGCCATTTGGGGAGTAAAACACCAGATGGAAGATCCTCCTCTCCCTCTCCCTCTCCCCCTCTCCCTCCCCTTTCTCCCCCCTCCTTCCTCTCCCTCTCCCCTCTTCCCCTCTCCTCCTCTCCCCCTCCCCTTCTCCCCTACTCTCCCTCTCCCCCTCTCCCTTTTCCTCTCCCTCTCACTGTAGTCTTTGAGCCAGAGAGCTTCCAAATGCCAGGAGGCAGGCGCTTCACCCCAGTCTCCCAATGTGGGTGCAGAGTCCCAGGTACTTGGGCCATCTCCCACTGCTTTCTCAGGTGAATTAGCAGGGAGCTGGATTGGAAGTGGAGCAGCCAGGACTCAAATCAGCTCCCGTATGGAACACCGGCATTGTAAATAGTGACTTAACCTGCTGTGCCACAACCTTGGCCCCTAGAATTTGAGATATTCTTATGCTAAAAAAATATTCATTCTTCTTCTGAAATTTGATTAAGCATTCTGTATTTTCAGTGGCTAAATCTGACAATCTCAAGGATAAACCACGTTGCTGTATAATAGTTAATGTTACTTTACAAATTAGGGGAAAGTAGGATGAAAAACTCTCTATGTAGCAAGGCTCCAAACTTGGAAACACATTGTCATTGCCAGTATTGGGTGATATGATTGGCTATGCCTAGGGGACTGACTGAAGACAAACAGTTCGATACGTCAACAATGGCTGTCTCTGGATATAATTGTTTCTTCATGATTCTTATTCCCTTTACCTATTTCTCCTATTTCTCAAACTTTCCACAGTGAACACTGACCTCTTTTGTAAAGTAGATAATACTCAATAGTAGCTAGCCTATTTGAGCGGTTATTATATGCCAGGTGCTTCACGGGTATTATCTTAATCCTTGCAAGGGCCCTATGCATAGGCAGGGTTGTCTCAGTCTGTTTTGTGCTACTACAGCTGAATTTGAGACTGGTCATTTTTAATGGGCAGAAATGTGTTGACCTACAGTACCGGAGACTGGGGAGTTCAAGATCAAGGAGCTCTCAAGCCAGGGCTTCCTGCTCCATTATCACATGAAGGAAGGCAGGCGAGAACCCACTGTAGCAGCACATTTTTCAAGGACAGAACCCTCCTGGCCTAATCGCCTCTCAAAAGCCCCACTTCGTAATGAAGTCGCGCTAACAGTTAAATTCCACATGAGGTTTGGAGAGGCCGATCCTCAAATCGAGGGGGGTTTGAGAGGTGAAGTACTTGTATGAGGTCTCACAGACAGCAGCAGGCCGGAAGCCGGGCCCCTGCAGCTGAGCCCCAGAACCCCTTAAAGTCTGCATTCAGTTCCCTTGGCGTGAAACTCCACGCATCCGGAACTTCAACAGTCTCTGCACTTTGGAGGGTCTAGACAAGCCCTTCCTAGCTGGACACTGCTGCTCTGGCCATTGTATTTGACACCTGGGCTCCACCTTCCTAAAAAAGAGACGTGGTCCCCAGGGCTCCCCACCCCCCGCCACCTCTGAGACTGGCAGTTGAGTGGAATCCGAGTTGGAGCCCCAGCTTTGACCTGCATGCCCTAAAAAGGGGGAGCACTTCTGTCTGCCCCAGCAGCTGAGAGCAAGACTGCGCTTTCTGGCACATCAACGTCTTCACTTTCTTTCAGATCCTTTTTGAAGACGTCTTTGATCTGACAAACTTCCTGGACAACAATGAGGCTCCAAATGCATACAGCCCCAGGTGGGAAATGGGGACATGAGACAGCATGTGCACGGGTGTGAGTGTGCTGGTGAATGGATGTGAGAATGTGTGTGCATGCATGTGAGTGTACGAGAACATGTGTGCAAGTGGGTGTGGGTGTGAGAATGATGTGTGCACATATGGGAGAACATGTGTGCATGTGAGAAGTGTGTACATACATGAGTGCATGAGACTATGTGTGCAAGTGGGTGTGGGTGTGAGACTGTGTGCAAGGGTGTGAGAACATGTGTACATGTGAGAAGTGTGTACATACATGAGTGCATGAGACTATGTGTGCAAGTGGGTGTGGGTGTGAGAATGTGTGCAAGGGTGTGAGAACATGTGTACATGTGAGAAGTGTGTACATACATGAGTGCATGAGACTATGTGTGCAAGTGGGTGTGGGTGTGAGAATGTGTGCAAGGGTGTGAGAACATGTGTACATGTGAGAAGTGTGTACATACATGAGTGCATGAGACTATGTGTGCAAGTGGGTGTGGGTGTGAGAATGTGTGCAAGGGTGTGAGAACATGTGTGCATGTGAGAAGTGTGTACATACATGAGTGCATGAGACTATGTGTGCAAGTGGGTGTGGGTTGGGAACCTTTCCTCTGCTGCTCCCAATGGGCACAAAATCCAGTGGGCATTCTTGGGGATACACATTTTTTCTGGGATTGAAAGTGGGCTGCTCCTTGAATTATGCCAGTGCAGGGAGTGATGGCACCTGGGGGGATGACCTCGTACTAGAAAAGTCTCCCACCCTGGCCCGCTCAGCTTAAGGCTGTGGAATGCACTCGCACTTTGCACCGTTTTCTTGGGCTGTCCTAGTCTTGCTTCTCCTGCTTGGGGCTGCTATGTTCCTGCTGTAAATCCGTTCATGCAGCAAATACCTTGGGCTGGGTGGCTTCGGAAGCACAAAGCCCTCTCCCAGTTCTGGAGCCTGGGGGTGCCAAGGCAGACCCAAGTCTGGGGAGGGCCTGCCCCTGTAGAGGAGGGCCTCTCAGTCTAACCTCCCTGGCAGGAGGAAGGGACAGGCACTTCTCCGGGGCCTCTTCCATGAGGGCACTGACCCCACTCCAGAGGATTCTGCCCTTGGGACCTGACCTCAAAGGCCCCCTCCTCCTACAACATCACCTTGGGGGTTACACTCCAGCACATGAATTTGGGGGAACACAGGTCCTCGCACCCAGGGTCAGGCAGTCTGTGGGCCGGCCTGAACAGTCCACCAGATGGGGCCCTGGGACTCAAAGAACCCGGGCCAGCATGGAAACGGGGTGTGCCCTGAGCTAGAGGGGAAGCTGCCTTTGTCGGTGCTGATGGGAACGGATCAGCAGGGACGGGGAAGGGGACAGCCAACCCCGGGAAGTAGAAAGACATAAAACAGGACCTGAGGGGGTTTGCTAAAACCAGCCACAGCTCGACTAAATGTGCACCCCAAAGAGACATTTCCCCAGAGGAAGTTTAAGAGGGGTGCTCCCTGGCTACTTTGCTTGAAAGTAAAGGGTCTTGGGCCCTTGGGATACCACCTGGTCTGGGGCCATGGCTGACGGGAGGCCTTGGCGTGTTGCTTCCCTGCCGTGGGCGTGAGCGTGACCCTCACAAGCAGTGTCCTCTCCGTGGAGCGGTGGCCCCGGGAGGCCCTGCAGCCCTCAGCCAAGTCAGGCACCTGCACACGTTCCTCTATCCCCTGCCTCCCAGCGGGCGTCATGGAGAAGCAGGGCTGACAGAGGCAGGCTTTGTCCCCTCTGAGGCGACCTCCCGAGTGACTCAGTGCCTCTCAGCTGTGTGTGGAGTTTCACTTGGCTGAAACTGGCTGGAATATTCCTATTTCTCCCCCAGGCTTGGGCTGCAAGACAGCTTTGCCCGGCCCTTCCAAAGTGCACTTGCCACGCAGTATTTGGAACTCCTCACCCTGATGATGGAACACACAAACCACCTATTAAAATTCTTTCCCCACTTTCCCGGGAAAAGGCAGGACTTGCAGCCAAAGGAAGAAGCCCCATCAAAATGCCTGCGGTCCCTCACCACGCATGGCATCTTGGCTCTCAGGCCCCCTTGTCCTAGGCTTCTGCCCTCGTCCTGGGAGGGCAGTGGGAAAGGAGCCTGCAACACGCGCCTGCGTTCTGCACTGAGCCGGGGCCCCTCGTGGGCCTAACTCAGAATGTGCACTTGTGATCCCTAAGCTGCCTCAAGCGGCTGCAGGTGCACCCAAAACAGTGGGACACTGCTGGAGAAAGCTCACTTCGAGGGGTCCAGGAGCGCTCGTTCCCTCGTCCCGTGGGCCGCAGCTCGGACTGGCACAGGAGCCAGCCTCCCCATGGTTGCTTTTCCAGAAGGTTCTAGATGTGCTCTTTGAGTAGAGGCATCACAGATCTTTCCAGGAAAGCCGAGGGCTGTCTGAGAACTCAGCCGGGTGCTTAAAGGCACTTGGTTCATACTGTAATCCAAATACTGGGGGGCCGGGAGGGGGGGTTGCCAAGCAGAGACGAGAGGCGCTCGAGCCCTCTAAACCTTGGCTGTTTCTTCTGTTTTCAGTTCAGTGCTTGACGGCTACGACCCAGCCGATGCCGGGGAGAAGTTTCAGCTCTACGTGCAGATCATCGACTTCTTTAAGGGCCTCTGTGGTGCTAACACCGAGCTAAAACAGGTAGTACTGACTGAAGTGTAGTGAGACCCTCGCCCGCCTCCCTGAGGATGGCGTACAGGGGGCCCTGGCCACATCTGACCCCTCCACTGCACAAGCAGCACCGGGCAGGGACATCCCTGGATGGTCACCTTCACTTCAGCCAGGGAAGTGGCTGGGAACGGCCACTCACCCACACTGCCTGGCATCAAGAGGAGCGGGTTGCATGGGTGCATCGCGAGCCCCAGGGGGGAGACCCGAATGGAAACTTCCCGAGTCCAGCTGTCCCGCCTGGTGGCCCTCGGCACTCTCAAATGAACACGTGAACCTCTGCCTCTCTGTTTTGCAGGAACAGGACCCTTCTGTTGACGATGATGTGAACATGCTGCGGTGCATGGAGACCTTCGACGACGATTTGTAGAGGGGCTGGGAGGGGGCGGGGCGGAAGGAGGCGGAACCGTGTCCAAGTTTGCATGCTGGCGGCCAAGGCTGCACCTGCCTCCATGTCCTGGGACTCTTGGGCGTGTGCCGCCCCAGAGGCATGTTGATGGTTTGCGTTTCTGGTTATTATAAAATGTTTAAGTGAAGCATGGCCCTGTGTGTGTCTCTCTAATTGTTTGGCAAAATGGGGCTGGCCGGCTGCAGGCCACACACCTGCTGTGCCCCTGTCTGGCGGGTGCCAGGTGCCCTGAGGCCCACGCTGTGGGCCTTCCAAGAAGAGGACAGACAGGTTCTGTCCCTGCAGTGATGGGACACAAGCTGCTTCCACGCATCCTGAGCTCAGGGCATGGCTCTGGTGGGTTCTGAGGGTTTGGGGGCCAACCTGCTCATCCCACACGGGCTGGGAGCCCAGCACCATGCTGACCTCCGCCTGTGCTACAGGACTTCCGGGTGGAACCAGATCCACCTGCTGCTTCTGGCAATAAACTCCCTCCAGTGGGTGCTACTGGGGGCCCCAGTGCTCTGAGCGCTGTGCTGAGCTCCGGGGGAATGGTGCACACGTTTCTCTAGGCTCACACCTCGGGGGTGAGGGTGGGTTTCATGAGTCAACTCGGCTAAGCCACGGAACCTGGCGATGTGGTCAAACATTATTCTAGCTGTTTCTGTGAAGGCATTTTGTAGGTGAGATTCACATTTCCATCAGTGGGCTCTGAGTAAGGCCAATCACACACCTCCGGGCTCCGAATCAGCGGAGGTCACAGCAGGAAAAGACTGACCTCCCTAGGGGAGAAGCCAGCCTGCAGATGTTGGAGCCGGAGCGTCCGTGACTGCGTGGGCCCAGCGCTTCCAGCCAGTCTGCCCCTGTCTCTCAAACACACACACGTCCTGCTGGTGCTGCTTGTGTTGGGAAGACAATAGCCAGGAGCCCGGGGTTCCCGTCAGTCAGTCACGCCCATGACTCAGCTAGCTGGAAACGAGCCAGCACGTGGGGAAGAAGAAGGGAGTATTCAGAGGCCCCTGCGCGTAGTAGGTCTTCAAGCAGCGTGGTGCCCTGACCAGCGTCCACCTGATTGTACCAGGCCCTCCCCTGACCCACCGAGTCCAAGGCTGAGATTTCATTCCTGGAGCCGGGAGTGCCAGTGGCCCCCAGGCAGGACAGAGCTCCCTGTAATGCTGGGGTGTCCCTTTTCCCCACGGTCACGTGCCAGGGCTGATGTCCCCACAGTCCGCCTTCAGTCCCAGCAGTGGTTTTCTCCTTCTCATGCCCTGTTGGACACTGGCGTGGCCCAGAGTGAACTTCTTTGTCCCCGGCGAGGACTCTGCCTGGATTATCAGTAAGGTGCTCTCTTGTAACCTCACCGGGAACTTCCCACACGAGTCAGGACTGCAGTGGGAGGGTTCCGCAAAGAAAGGAACCACCAGGCTGGAGAGGAAGATGTGGGTTTATTTTGAGGACTTGATTCCCACAAGTGTGGGGTCAGCGGGCTGGACGCCGAGGTAGGAGCTGATGCTACAGTCTCCAGGCACAACTCCTCCTCCTGGCGACCTCCCGTGACACATCAGGGAGCAAGAGCACCCTCCGTCTGCAGCCGGCTGCCTGGAGATGCTAACCACACCCACACCACGTGCTCACAAGCACCCCGGACACCAGCGTTTGGCTGAGTACCTGGGCACCGCAGTTTGGCCAAGTTGACAGCTCAAGCCAACGGTCACAGGCACCCCTTGGGGACCTGTGCTGGACCACTGTCACTCAAACAGCTCTGCGGGAGAGGCCAGGCACCTGTCGTTACCTCCATTTGGCAGATGGAGAAACCACAGCTTTGGCTGAAGCCACAAAACCAAGAAACAGAAGAGAACCCAGGATCCCCCACTTCCCCCAGAATGGACAGCGTGTTTGTGGTTATTTTAAGGTGAAAATGTGAAAAACCTCCAGCCGGACAGTAAAGAGTTAGGATGCAGAAACACGAAGCCAGTCCTCAGCCACGGCGACACCTCAAGGTCATGGCTGGGAAGGGAGAAAGCGAAGATAAAGGTGGGGGCAGGAGTCGAGCAGGGGGATGGAGGACGAGAATACCAGGCCAGCAGCGTCGGGCACTAAAGGACCTGAGCAAGGTACAGGGTTCGTTTTTCCTAACTGATCAACTTATCTTTATTTGAGAGACAGAGCTTCCATGTGCTAATTCACTCCACAGATGCCTGCAACAGACAGGGCTGAACCAGGCCAAAACTGGGAGCCAGAACCCCTGTCCTGGTCTCCCATGTGGGTGGCAGGGGCCCAACGACTTGAGCCACCACCTGCTGCCCCCACCCCCCACCCCAGGGTGTACATTAGCAGGAAGCTGACATTGGGGGTGGAGCTGGGACTTGAACCCTTGGGGCTCTGATGTCCTGAGTGGCCTTAACCCCAGGGGTGGCAGATTCTGACAGTGACCTTGGAGTTGACAGATGCCATGGGCTCCAGCAGATCAGTGTGTGGGTGGAAGGGTGACTGGGCTGGGCATCAGATTCAACACTCGTTCTCTATCAACCTAGTCACGCCTGCCCCTCCCACCCAGCAGCTCTCAGCTGCAGGTGGAAAAAGGCACTCCTGTGACCTTGACCCTGAACAACGGGCCTTGATGCTTTTATGGAAATGTCAGAAACGGCTCCTTCTGCGTATGCCTCTCACAGAGCTGCCTCATCCCCAGGGCTCTGAAACCACGTGTTCTGACACACACAGGACAGCTAAGGGCAGACGGAGGCTCTTCCCGGGCACGGTCCCAGCACTGCTCTCCTGCTGTCTGTCCTGCTGTGGCTCCCCTGTACTGGCAAACAGCCCAGCTGGTGAGAATGCCACCAGGTACTCCCAAATCCTCACGGTCCAACCCAAAGAAAAGAAAGGGCAGAGGTGGGCAGGGCAGGAAGTGCTGCAGGGGGAGAGACAGGGGGCAGGAGGGAGGATGTGCAGCCCAGGGTCTCCGGGAGCAGCAGCCCATTTTCCGGCAGCTTGCTATAGAGGCTGACCCCTAGTGTTCTAATGCCACCACGCCATACACACAAGTCAGGTTAAAAAATAAAAATGGAAGTTGGCAGACTCGATTACTCCAAGAAGGAAAAGTTGAGGACGCAAGAGGGGAGGATGATCGCACAGGCGGAGGCCAGCTTTCTCAGGATGCCCGGGACGGGGAGACACGCCCACGGCACAGACGTGGGGACGGGGTGGGGGTGCTTCCCAAACTCCCCCTCCCTGGGAGGACCAGGACGAGGACAGAGGCGGGAGGGGCTTTAGAATAAAGACAGGATGCATTTGGGGAAGGCGGCACTGCCAGCCCCTGGGAAGTTCACGGTCACCAACCCAGGACCACTGAGCAGCCCAGGCACGGCTACAGGGAAGCCAAGAACTGTTTCTGATCAGCGTTACAGTTTGGCCAAGAGGGTGTCGCTCCCCAGGGGGAGCTCGGGGCTGCCCACCCACTGCTCTGAACACCAGCCAGAGGCGGGCCGGGGGTTCGGGACAGAGTGGCCCCTGCAGAGAACAGCTCCTGCCTGGGATGGCGGGTTCTGGGAGCTGCCCGGGTCACAGCAGCCTGTGCATCCGGGTCTCAGCCTGGTCTCGGCAGCAGCAGGTGGGTGCCGTTTGCTGGGCCAGAACGGGAGGTGCTGGGCACAGGAGGGCGTGCAGAACTTGGTGCCGATGCCCCAGGGCAGCTGGTAGACCTCGGCAGCCATCGCAGTCTCCCCAGCTGCCTCCTGCATCCGAGTCCAGGCCAGCAGGCCCCGCTCCTCCCGGCTTCCTGAGAGGGGACGCAGGAGGTCAGCCTGGGGCGGAGGCAGCTGGAGGGAGCCCTGGGCTCCCCCTGCAGGCCCTCAGCACTGTCCCCTCCTCTCCCCTGCTCCCTGCTCTCTGCGCTCCTGCTGCGTGGCCCCACCAGGAGAGGAGCCCCGGGGAGCAGGCCTGTGTCTACACTTCAATGTTTCTGGAATGGGGGTGCCTGTTACATGTGGCAGAGAGAAACAGTGTGGCAAATAGAGTACTAGGAAGCAGGCGGCCTGCAGGAGGTGCTTGGAGAGGCTGGGGGCAGGGGAGTCCAGAGGAGAGGAGAGATGGGGTCCAGCCGCCTCTTCCAGGAAGCCCTCAGAGATTGGCCTCCAACTCCCCGGGCACTGGTAGACCCTGCTTTGTCATCCTGGCACTTGGTACCCTGTTATGACCGCCTGTTCTCTTGCCTCTCCCCTCTTCGGCTGTGCGTTTCTGGAAGGCATGGTTTGTCTGGCTTCTCTTGTACTCTCGGTACAAAGCACAAGAAGCCACCCAGGTATCCAAGCCCTCCTTACCGTCCTCCACCCCTGGCCTCAGGGCCCGCTCAGAGCAAGCTGTGGGCAGCCTGATCCGGGAACCGCGACCACACCGCCCGCCGGCTCCCCAGTGAGCCCTACCGGGGATAGTGTTGTCCAGGAGGAAGCCCAGAAATCCGCCCACAAACATGCCCGTGGTCAGCAGCACCTGGATGACCTGGTCCAGCTGTGGAACACCTGCAGTGGAGACGCAAGTGGCAGGTTGGCCCGGGGCAGGGCCCCTGCTGGCTGTGGCCGGGGCGGTACCGCTCCGGAGCACAGAGGACGGTCACCTGTCTGGAGGATCTCGGGGTTCCTGTTGGCCCAGCTGGGAACGGCGAGCCCGCAGTAGATGGAGAAGCCGAAGACAAACAGGTTCCTGGAGGAGTTCATGTCCGCATACTGCAGGGGGAAGGCCCCAGGCGCAGACCCGGGGCCGGGCAGGCCGTCAGCCCACGCGGATGCGGGTCGGGAGGCCTCCTAGCATTTGGCCCCAGCCCGTTCCTCGCAGCCGAGCCGCTGCTTCTCTGAGGGTGCCACACCCGCCTCACCTGCAGATTCGAGATGCCCACGGCGGTGATGACCCCGAACATGACCAGGAACATGCCTCCAATCACGGGGGTCGGGATGGTGGCAAACGCGGCCCCGATCTTCCCCAAAACACCCATCAACAGCAGCACGCAGCCCGCGGCGACGATCACCATCCTGCTCCCCACCTGCACACGCACGGAGCATCAGCGGGGCCGCACGCAGGGACACCTCTGTGCGCGGTGCAGGTGGACGCCCCGCCACAGCGCCCCCTGCTGCTCGCCCTGTCTTCAAGCCCTGGTGCCCATGTTAACTGTCTTGACCTGGCTCTGCCTCCAACCAGCTGTGTGCCTCTGGGCGCTTACCTACCCTCTCTGAATGCCGGCCTCCCCTTCTTTGAGGCATTTGGGATCATTCTCAAGTGTTAGGGCTGGGCTGTGAACATCGTTGTGAGTCTGCTGTCGGTGAATGTGTTCAGACAGCGCCTGAAGCTAGTTCACATCCATCTGTGTCTGCTCCCTGCCCTCGAAGGATGCTCTATGGGGCTGCCAGTTTTGCAAAGATTCCAGAGATCCGGGATACAACAATGGAAGTATACTTAACCCTAACTACACACTTAAAAACGACTGTGTCTTTAACCACAATTAAAATCTTTTAAAAGGTAATCTGGGGGCCAGCGCTGTGGCACAGTGGGTTAAAGCCCTGGCCTGCAGCACTGCCAATCCTACATGGGAGCTGGTTCGAGTCCCGGCTGCTGCACTTCCGATCCCGCTCCCTGTCAATGCACCTGGGAAAGCAGCAGCAGATGACCCAAGTCCTTGGGCCCCTGCACCCACACGGGAGACCCAGAAGCAGCTCCTGGCTCCTGGCTGTAGCCTGGCCCAACCTCAGTTGTTGTGGTCATTTGGGGAGTGAACCAGCAGATGGAAAACCTCTTTCTTTCTCTCTGTCTCTACCTCTCTCTTTCAAATAAATAATCTGATGCCAACTAAAGTCCATTAATGCAGCAAAGAAGTGGTAGATTCTGCCTCTGCTGTGTCTTTCTGGTGTAAGAACTTATTTAACTGTCCTCATGGAGATTCTTATCACATCAAGAACGTTTTGCTTTGTTTTCAGCCCTGGTAGTTAACCGCGGGAGCAAAGGCTTGTCCAAGGCACCACAGATCGAGTTCAGCCACCACCTTCAGAGATGCTACCCATCTCACGGAGATGGCGGTCACCTCTGGTCCTGTTACCACAGGCACCTGGGATGCAGCCATGGGCGTATTTTGGTCTCAGCATTGACACTTCGGCTGGGAGCCCTGACATGCCGCAGAAGTGCTGGGAGATCTCTGTGATCTCAGCCTGGTCTCCCCTCGCGCTGGGGAGAACCTAGGAAGTGGTGGGAGCGCATCATTGCACAGGTGCAACGTGAAGCAATACCTTAAAAGGCCACAAGGTGGGGCACTAGCATGATGGCAAAGCTGATAAAGCCAGCTTGTGTGCGATGCTGGCATTCCACACAGGCACTGGTGCCAGTCCCAGCTGCTCTACTTCTGATCCAGTTCCCTGCTAATGCACCTGGGAAAGCAGCAGAAGATGGCCCAAGTGCTTGGGCCCCTGCTGCTCACATGGGAAACCTGGAAGAAGCTCCTGGCTTCAAACTGGTCCAGCTCTGACCGTTGCGTCCATTTGGGGAGTGAACCAATGGATGGAGGTCTCTGTCTCCATCTTGCTATATATCTGCCTTTCAAATAAGTAAATAAATCTTGAAAAAAAAGGCCACAAGGGGGAGGTCTGAGTTCATCAAAGCAAATGCTCCCTGCACCTGTTCCTATTTCAAGGTCAACCTGCCTCCTACAACAAGTGGTCTCCTCTGTGTCTGTATCTTTATTTCCTTCTCCTCCCCTCCCCTCTGAAGATCCTTAGTTTAGAAATGAAGAAATTGCCAGTCTACTTATGGAATACAATTTTCTGCTCTGAGTGATATTTGTCTAGTGCAGTGGGAAAGGAAATATTAGCCATTTATGATTATGTGGTTATATATATATATATATATATATATATATATATATCTGCCACATTCCTGGGTGCGTCAGTGGCTTCCCTACAGGAAAAACTTCCCCTTGCCTGCCCTAAAGTCTGAGAGACCACGGGTCAGGATTGGTGTCCACGGGTCAGGATTGGCGGCCACGGGCTCACAGCTCACAAGGTTGCAGTAGGCACAGGGGCTGGCTCCAGCTGTGTGCCAGAGGTCATGGGGGGTACAGGGGTGGATGGATACAATGCTGTAATTTTGTGAACTGCCAAGAAAGTGCTAGAAAATGCAAGAAGGGGGGGGGGATCTGCATAGTTGCAAAGCTCACAGTGTTTGTGCTCTGTGCCCCTGCAAAGATGCCCTGACACACACGGGGAGCAACACGACGTTCCTCTCTCCCAAGTCTCTCTGGAAGGAGCCATCCTGGGGCCAGCGTTGTGGCACAGCGCGTAAGCCACCACCAGTGATGCGGCATCCCACGTGAGTGCAAGTTCGAGTCTTGGCTGTTCACCTTCTGACTCCACTCCCTGCGGATGTGCCTAGGAAAGCAGCAGAGGATGGCCCAAGTCCCTGGCTGCTGCACCCACGTGGGAGACCTGAATGGAGACCCTGGCTCCTGGCTTTGGCCTGACCCAATCTTGGCTGTTGCGGCCATCTGGGGAGTGAACCAGCAGATGGAAGATCTCACACTCTGTCTCTCCCTCTCTCTAACTCTGCCTTTCAAATAAATGAATGAATCATTAAAAAAAAAAAGTCCTATTTAGAAAGAAAGAGAGATAAGGACAGTGCTTTGGTGCAGTGGGTAAGCCACCGTCTGCATACAGGCACCAGTTCATGTCCCAGCTGTCCCGCTTCTGAGCCAGCTCCCTGCTAGTGGCCTGGGAGAGCAGTGGAAGATGGCCCAAGTCCTTGGGCCACTGTCACCCACATGGGAGACCCAGAAGAAGCTCCTGGCTCCAGCCTGGCCCAGCAGGTGTGTCCATTTGGGGAGTGAACCAGTGGACCAGTGGATGAAAGACCTCTCCCTGTCTCTCCTCTCTTTCTCTGTAACTCATTTTTTTTTAAATTTTTGACAGGCAGAGTGGACAGTGAGAGAGACAGAGAGAAAGGTCTTCCTTTGCCGTTGGTTCACCCTCCAATGGCCGCCGCGGCCGGCGCACCGCGCTGATCCAATGGCAGGAGCCAGGTGCTTCTCCTGGTCTCCCACGGGGTGCAGGGCCCAAGCACTTGGGCCATCCTCCACTGCACTCCCGGGTCACAGCAGAGAGCTGGCCTGGAAGAGGGGCAACCGGGACAGAATCCGGTGCCCCGACCGGGACTAGAAATCCGGTGTGCCGGCGCCCCAAGGCGGAGGATTAGCCTAGTGAGCTGCGGCGACGGTCTCTCTGTAACTCTTTCAAATAAATAAATAAATAAACAAACAAACAAATAAAAGAGAGAGAGAGAACAAGCACCATCCTGAAAAATCCTTGCTGACCTCTGAGTTTACTGTGGAAAAGGGAGCTGAGGGAGAGACTGAAGCCGAGACTAATCAGAGTCGGCTTCTAGAAGGATCTCCGTGCAGCCCTGTGGTAGGTATAGGCAGTGCAGAGTGCATAACCCCTAGGAGAGAGCGTGAGAGGGTGCCCAACAGTGGCCCCTGACAGACAGGGAAGGGAGGAGGAGGGCAGGAAGGGTAGCAGGGATGTTGAGGAACTAGACCCACCGCTGAGGTCCAGGAAGCAGAAGTTCTGGGTGACAGGGGCTATGGGTGCCCCGAGATAGCATGTGGCCAGCCCAGCTCCACCCACCAGCAAGCGAGCTGAAAGAGCACGGGTCAGGCAAAGGAGCGGGTCCACAGCAGTTAGACCCAGCATGGCACCCAGATCAGCAGCTGCCCCAGTGCCAGCCTCCTTCTGCCCTTGTTGTAATGCATTAGTTAGCGTAGTCATGGTCCCTCCCCCTTGTGCTGTGACGTTTGACGGCTGCCATGACAACCTATGCAAACAGACACTCAAGGGGAGAAAGAGGTGGCCACTTCCTGGACATGGCTGCCCCTTTCCCACATGTAAGATAAATATTCTACCCAGATACTAACATACAATTCCAGGACCTCATAAATTAAAAACCCCAACTAAACACAAGGTTTCTCTGTCCATGAAGTAGCCTGCTCTTTGCCCCTTGCTTTAAAATTCTTGCTTTCTATTGGCTAGCTCACAATTGATTTATCTCTCACTTGCCCAAACCAACATCCCTCTTGGGACCATGAGGGGCCCAGGCAGGGGTCCCCAGCTGTCCACGGTCACAGCCACTGGGACGAGGACTGAAGGAGGAGAGTCAGGACACGGGCATGGCGTGGGCTTCCTGGAGGCCACAGTGCAAAGGGAGCCTGGGACAGGAGGTGGGGCTGCCCAGCGCCCAGGGGAATACTAATGTTTGAGCTCTGACACTGGTGCCCCAGATGGGCTAGAACCAACAGACCTCCCGGCTGAACTTCGGAAAGCACACAAGCACTTTTTCAGTGCTCAGAAAGCCACCAACCTCGGCAGTGCCAGGTGTCACAACCCAAGTTCAAGCGTGGAGCCCTGCCATTGTCACAACCCAAGTTCAAGTGCCATTGTCACAACCCAAGTTCAAGTGTGGAGCCCTGCCACTGTCACAACCCAAGTTCAAGTGTGGAGCCCTGCCACTGTCACAACCCAAGTTCAAGTGCCATTGTCACAACACAACCCAAGTTCAAGTGTGGAGCCCTGCCATTGTCACAACCCAAGTTCAAGCGTGGAGCCCTCAGAGACAGCCACGTCCTAATCCTGGCACCAGGGACTATGTCCTGCAGGTGGGATTGAGTGCAGGGCTTTGAGATGCGGGGAGGTCCCTGGGTTACCCAGGTGGGCTGGGCTCCGTCTGGCTCCTGGCTCCTGAGAAGCAGAGCAGCTTTTCCAGCCGTGGGGGGAGACGCAATGGTGCTTGCTGTGAAGAGGGAGGAAGGGGTCACTGCCCAGGGGCCCTGGGAGCCTCGAGACAACAGAAGAGGAGAGCAAACAGACTCTCTCTGGAGCCTCCGTAAGGGACACAGCCTTGCCAGCCACTGCGCTGCCCTTGCTGGTCACAGCAGCAACAGGAAAGCAACCCTTGGGGTGGCACATCTGGGTACCGCGCGTGCTCCCGGGGAGCGCCTTACCCTGGTGACGCCCAGCGCCCCGACGTTCTCGCTGTAGGAGGTGGTGCCGTTCCCTGTGCCCCAGGCGCCGGCCAGCAGGCAGCCGAGACCCTCGATGCCGATGCCGCGGTTGACAGCGTGCTTTGGGGGTGGCGGGGCCCCCACCAGCCGGGCACATGCGTAGTAATCACCCACAGACTCCACCATGGAGGAGATCACTCCCGCGATGATCCCAAAGACCCCCGCCAGGCTGAGCGTGGGCAGGCCCCACTGTCCTGAAAGGCAACACAGCTACAATGGCTCAGGCGGGATGAGGCCGCCGAGCCCCAAATGACTGCTTTCCCGAAAAGGTCTCTGGAGGGCCTGAGACATGGCGCAGTGTCTGCAGGCCTCTGGCCAGAGGCTTTGGCCCAGGTGCTTGCCCCACCATCCCCCCCTGAGGGTCAGTCACATGTCCAGAGCCTGACCTCCCCGTGGACAGGAGGAGCCATCAGGACACTTGACCTAGCAGGTGCCTGGGGTCAGTCTCGGCTCCACTCTGGATTTCAGCTTCATGCTAACGCACACCCAAGGAGGCAGCAGGTGGTGGCTCAAGCCCTTGGGTTGGTTCCTGCTGCCCACATGAGGGACCCCTAGCTTTGGCTTGGCCCAGCCCCGGAAGTTGGGGGCTTTTGGGGCGTGAACCAGGGAATGGGTTTCTGTACCCCCTTCTCTCTCTGCCTTCGAGGAGGCTTGAAGCCTTTGCAAGCTGAGATTCTAACTGAGGGAGCCCGGGAGTCCACAGTCCACAGAGGCCCTGGGACCAGATTATTACATAGCCTGAGCCAAGCACTACAAGAGGAGGCGGCCAGAAGTAGCCTAAGGGATGACCTGGTTCACTTGCAGAGAGCCAGAGTCGGCAACTCTCTCCCTCACCCCAAGGATGTAGGTTCTCCCCTTCTTCTCCTAGGCCTCTGAGTGGCCTCCCAGGGTCCATCCCTGCTGGGCAGTCCCTCCCCAGCCCTATCCAGTGCCCTGCCCAGGGCCCTGGACACCAAGGACGGTCCTGGGAAACACATCTCAAGCCAGAAGAGGCCCCATCTTCCTACCTGGGTAAGGGAAGCGAAACCAGGGGGCTTGGCTCAGGACGCTGCCTTTGGTGTCGGTGCGAGCCAGGTGCCCATAGGCACTGGGGGCCACAGGGAGGGTGTCGGTGATGGTGAGCACGAAGCAGACGAGCCAGGAGATGCAGAGGGCCAGCAGCACCTGCCACAGGGAGCCCCAGGAGGGAGGTCAGGAAGGCGCTTGGGAGTGCGCACAAGGCCGGTCACCGAGCCTTCTGGTGGCGCAGGACTCTGCCAGGTCAGTGGATACATCAGCACATTAAAGACATTATCTAGCCAGCACCGTAGCTCACTAGGCTAATCCTCTGCCTTGCAGCGCCGGCACACCGGGTTCTAGTCCCGGTCGGGGCGCCGGATTCTGTCCCGGTTGCCCCTCTTCCAGGCCAGCTCTCTGCTGTGGCCAGGGAGTGCAGTGGAGGATGGCCCAGGTGCTTGGGCCCTGCACCCCATGGGAGACCAGGAGAAGCACCTGGCTCCTGCCTTCGGATCAGCGCGGTGCGCCGGCTGTGGTGGCCATTGGAGGGTGAACCAACGGCAAAGGAAGACCTTTCTCTCTGTCTCTCTCACTCACTGTCCACTCTGCCTGTCAAAAAAAAAAAAAAAAAGACACTAGCTGGGGGTCTGGCATTGTGGTGTAGTGGGCTAAGCGTCCACCTGCAACACCAGCATCCTCCAGGAGTGCTGGTTCAAGTCCCAGCTGCTCCATTTCCAACCCAGCTCCCTGCTAATGCGCCTGGAAAAGCAGCGGAGGGCGGACCAAGCGCTTGGGCCCCTGCACCCACATAGGAGACCTGGATGAAGCTCCTGGCTCCTGACTTTGGTCTGGCCCAACCCTGGCCATGCAGCCATTTGGGGAGTAAACCGAACCAGCAGTGGAAAATCTCTCTCTCTCTCTCTCTCTCTCTCTTTGCCTTCCAAATAAATAAATCTTTATAAATAAACAAATAAGCAAGCAAGCTAGCCCTAGAAGCAGACGATAAATTACCTTGGGAGTTTGTGACAGACTGGGGCAGAAGCGGCCAGCAAGTTGGGCACAGCCCAGGGCAAAAGGATTTCAGTCTGGCCCTCTGTGCTCACGGCTGACCCCAGGGGGAGGAGACGCTCTGAGCCTGTTTCCTCGTCTGTATAAGGGAATCATCACTGCTCTGCGGGGCTCACACAGGGCTTCTTAAAGTGAGGTCCTCAGGTACAGAGCAGGGGTGGGAACCGGGAACCTGAACTTCAGCCAAGTTCCCCAGGGACCGTTATGCACGCTGAAGTTTAGTCACCGGACCACAGCAGAGTTGAAGGATCCGTGAGGTCATTATGTGGACGACTCTTTTTGCAGTTACATGAAACCCAAAAGCCTGCCACGTGATGGACAGCCTTCATAGGATGGTGCACGTGCAATCGACAAGGCTCTGAACAGAGTTTCTGTCCCCTTCAGGGTGACTTGGGTTGCCTGTGAGCCAGGCCCTGATCCAAGCAATCTGGGGGAACCCAGGCTGCCTTAAGCCTCTGGCTTTATGTCATGCGGGTGAACGTGGCTGTCCCCTGTCTTGCTGTGTGGGCAGCCAGGGATCAGACCCGGTCCCGCTCCAGTGCCCAGAAGAGAACGCAATGCAAGCCGCCAGCCACCAGGGGGCGCCCACCTCATGCCCCGGGTCCCTCTTCACCTGCTCCTTAAAACCCAGGTTCAAAGCCGGCTACAGAGCAGGGGCGTTTGACATGGGGGCCATCTAGGCACGCAGAGGCCAACTAGGAAGGGAAGGAGGGGGCGTGCTTCTTACAGGGAAGACCTGAAACAGGTAGAACTTGGAGGTGCGGCCCTTCTCCCCGTAGACCGGCACGGGCACGGCGACGTTCTTCAGGTACTGAGAGAACAGCACGATGAGGAAGCTGGTCCTGAAACAGGAATTCGCAAGCACACCCCAGCCGGGGCTGGGTGGTCCTGGAGGCTGAGCCCCTGTGGGTCCCTGGGAGCAAGGCAGACTGCTGCCACATCCCACCAGGATGCTGCTGTCTCGGCCGGAGTCTGAGAGAGAGGAGCTGCTGGCTGCTAGCCAGGGCCAGCGGTCAGAAGCCAGGAGCCCAGAGTCAGAGACTGGTGTGTGCCAGGCCCCTGGGCAGGACCGACGGTCTTCTGCCACCTCCCGGGCCACCTGGACCAGCATCACTGCAGGTGTTGGCCCTGAGGCTCTTCTGAGCCCAGTGAGAATGTTCTAGAAGCCTCCTGTGCCATGAGGCCTCCCTGAACCTCACAGCCGGCTCTTCCAGGCCCTCGTCTGCATGCCCCGTTGCAGCTGCCCGCCGGGACCCAGGTCTCCTCTCTCTCTGACTTTCCTAGGTCCCAGAGGTCTTTGCTCAATGAAAACCCAGTTTGGCAGGGTGTGGCAAATCCCTGCACGAATGCGGGATACATGGATGCCTGCTGGTGATTAACTGGCGGGCCGCGTGCACTAAGCAGGTAGGGCGTGACATCCTCCATCACCGCATCTGGAAATCACAAGCTCGCCCACGTGCAGGCCTCCTGCTGTCCTGCCCCAGGGGGTGGTCCTCCAGCCCCCTCCTCCCCCAGGAGTACTCACAAGGCAGAGATGCCCCAGTGGATCCCGGCGTCGGCGCCCGCAGAATCAAAGAGAGGCAGGGCCACCAGGGCGATGGTCGGCGCGATGGTCAGGGGGCCGATGAAGCGCAGGAGAAAGCCGATGAGGCCCGAGAAGCCCACTAGCATCTGGACACAGGAGGCGACCATGATGGCACCCTGCAGCTGAAGGGGAGGGTGCCGCTAAGGCTCCTTGCAGGCCAGCGGGAGCCCCAGGCCAGGCCCAGGCTGCACCCACAGCCACGTCTGGGCACCCTAGGCGGTGCGCTCAGAGGGTAAACTGAGGCAGGGCTGGGTCCCTAAGGATCCCAGGGAAGCAGAGCTCTCATCTCGCTGCCCTCCGGGCTGCCGTCCCCTCGACATGCGGCTTTTCAGGAAACAGGCTCCGAAGTTACCTATGGGTGATGATGATGATGGTGTTGCTATGACAACGACTCCCATCATGAGACGGGATCGAAATGGGACTTAAGAGCCCCTCCTCACTCCATTTGTATCCATCTCTGACCACAGCCCTCTGCACCCAGCTTCACACCAATCAGATGCAAGGAGTGTCCAGACCCGAACTGCAAAAGATCCCCTGGTCCCCACTGAGGGACTGCCCCCAACCCACACGCATGCGCAGAATAGCCCATGACGCCCAATATATGATCTCTCCAGGGAGGCGGAGGCGAACATCACAGCCATGTTGGGCGTGTCGTGTGCAAAAGTAGCAACCACGCCTGTGCAAGCAGAAGTGCCGTGTGCTGAGGGGGACGAGCCCGAGATGGAGGGGGCGTGGCCACGCCTCCCCGACCCGAGGAAAACCCAGTTCGGCTCCTAGGAGGGAGCCAGTTGGTGCAGCCCTGTTGCCCTGAGCTATCTCCCTCGTGCTGGAGCAAGACCACCCAACAAAGTTGTCTGGGTTCAACACTGCACTCTTGTCAATCTCCCTTTGCCAGCGAGCCAAAGAGCCCAGGTGGGTAGCCGTAACTCGGCAGGCCAGGAGCACTTGGGCTATCCTCTGCTGCTTTCGCGGGTGCATTAGCAGGGAGCTGGATCGGAAGGGGAGCAGCCCACCCTGAACTTGAACTGGTGCCCATATGGGATTCTGGCTTTGCAAGCAGTGGCTTGACCTGCTGCTCCACAATGCTGGCCCCTCTTCTTACCCTACCAGTGTGAACACCACACTTAAAGTCCACAGTTAAATACATTTTCTGGAGGTGGGTACTGCAGTGCTGCAGATTAAGCTAATCACGTGGGTGCCCACCTGCCATGTCGGTGTGCCTCCACTTCCCAGCCAGCTTCCCGCTACTGCAACAGATGATGGCCCAAGTACGGGGGTCCCTGTCACCCACATGGGAGACCTGAATGAAGTTTCTGGCTCCTGGTTTTGCCTGGCCCAGCCCTTGCTGTTGCAGGCATTTGGAGAGTGAACCAGTGGATGGAAGTGCTCTGTCTCTCTCTAATAAATTAATTTTATATAAAATTTCTAGCCTCTCTGTAAATAGCACAATGGCCTTAGAAAATTTTAACTTCTACCAGCAGCTATTTCCCACGCTAGTGTGATAAGTGTTTTTTGTTGTTTTTCCACTACTACTGGTCATTATAATAGATTTTGTTCTATTTCCCTATAGTCAATGCATATAAGTGTACCTAATGCCATGGACTGAATGTGCCCCCTAAAACCCCCAAGTTCAAGGCCCAGCTCTCCATGCACTGGTTTGGGAGGCGGAATTCTGGGGAACTGATTGGGTTGGGATGAGCTCATGAGGCAGGAAGCTCGGTTCCCTTCCTCCTGATTCCTGGCTCCCAGTCCCCACGCATGTGGCAAGGAAAGGCCGTGTGAGAGCGCAGCAGGCCACCAGTGCACGCCAGGACCAGCCTCCCACGGGATTCAGCCATGCCAGCACCCTCATCGCAGACTCCCGACCCCAAGAATTCTCAGAAAACTAATTTCGGTTCTTCTCTGCCGAGAACCACAGGTATCTCATGGACAGGACTAGGGCCGCTGTTACCTTCTGAGCATGAGAAATCGCCCATCCCACCGTCAGTCATTCTCATGCAAATTTATTTATTTATTTATTTTGACAGGCAGAGTGGACAGTGAGTGAGTGAGTGAGAGAGAAAGAGAGAGACAGAGAGACAGGTCTTCCTTCCGTTGGTTCACCCCCAAAATGGCCGCTATAGCTGGTGTACCGCACTGATCCGAAGCCAGGAGCCAGGTGCTTCTCCTGGTCTCCCATGGGGTGCAGGGTCCAAGGACCTGGGCCATCCTCCACTGTACTCCCGGGCCACAGCAGAGAGCTGGCCTGGAAGAGGAGGAACCAGGACAGAATCCGGCGCCCTGACCAGGACTAGAACCTGGGGTGCTGGCGCCGCAAGGTGGAGGATTAGCCTAGTGAGCCGCAGCGCCAGCCCAGATTTGTGTTACAACACTTCCCAGAGTCCCCTAAGCAGACTGAAGCTTCCTCACCAGCTCCCCCTGCTGGAGGGCACGATCTTGGCCTCTGTTCCCCGAAGGAGAAGCCCTTTGGGGACCCAGCTGATCCTTCCAGCCCAGGTCCCTCCTTTCTCTCCCACACCTGGGTGTGATCCCGCACCCCACCACCATAAACCTTGAGTCTGGTTGTAATTTCCGCCTTTGCTCCCAGAAAGTGGAGCTGTCACTTGGTTTTCAGCTCAAGGGTGTGTTCAGGAATCAGCTCCCCCAGCATTTTTCTGTGTTGGTCATGTGGGTGGGCTCTACCCCGACCCGTGAAGGTCAAGTTTAAATTGGTCTAACGTGTTGAAATGCAAACTGGCTGTCTCTTTCTCTGCTGCCACCATTTCCTTAAAGCGATCACTGTGCACTTTGCCCCTCTGTATTCTGTTGGTATCCCATGAGCAGGACCACTCCCGATGGCCCTGTGTTCACGTCACCTTCATCCGCGCTTGCACGTCTCGAGGGCTTGGGGATCAAGAGAACCCAGTGAGTCCTGCAGAATCTTCCTTTCATGTCAACGCTGTAGGCTGACTCCGGGAATTAAAGCAATCGACTTGGCCAGTGCCGCGGCTCAACAGGCTAATCCTCCACCTTGCAGCACCGGCACACCGGGTTCTAGTCCCGGTCGGGGCACCGGATTCTGTCCCGGTTGCCCCTCTTCCAGGCCAGCTCTCTGCTGTGGCCCGGGGGTGCAGTGGAGGATGGCCCAAGTGCTTGGGCCCTGCACCCCATGGGAGACCAGGAGAAGCACCTGGTTCCTGGCTTCGGATCAGCGCGGTGCGCTGGCCGCAGAGCGCCAGCCATGGCGGCCATTGGAGGGTGAACCAACGGCAAAAGGAAGACCTTTCTCTCTGTCTCTCTCTCTCACTGTCCACTCTGCCTGTCAAAAAAATAAAAATAAAGCGACCGACTGATCAGTTGGTAAGATGAGGCTGGAAAGTGCAAGGACTTTCTCTTGCTTAGAGCGCTGGTGAAAAACGCCAGGTCAGCAGAGGAGCCGGGGCACCACAGAGAAACCTGGGATTGCGGCTCAGGGTGTCGGAGACTGAGTGGGAGGAACACTGGAACTGATTGTCTGGGGACCCATGTTGTAGAACAGCGGATGACGGCCTTTTTCTGCAAAAGGCTAGAAAGCCAATATTTAGATTGACGCCCCTCCCCCTCTTTAAACAACCTTTTAAAAGCATCCAAACCATCCCTGGGACAAGTGTTCAGCAGTGTTCAAGACACCACGTCCCACCTTGGAATACCCGGGTTCAAGGCCTGCCAGTTCCAGACCCTGGCAACAGCGGTGATGGCTAAAGTGCTGTGTCCCTGTCGCCCACAGGGGAGACCTGGGTGAGTTCCCACAGGGGAGACCTGGGTGAGTTCCCAGCTCCTGGCTGCAGCTGGGTCAGCCCTGGTTGTTGCTTTTATTTGAGGAGTTAATCAGAGGATGCGAGTGCGTGCTCACTCTCCGCGTCCCCCCCCCCCAAATAAGTTAATGAATTTTTAAAAATTTTCAAAGCATTCTTAGATCATGAGCAGTAAAAAAAAAAAAAAAAAAAAAAAAAAAGGCTCCCGTGCCAGGGAATGCTGGCTCCTGCTTCAACGGACTCCACACAGCACAGACAGCAGAACACAGGAGGGGTGGGCCTTGAACCTGGAGGTTACGATGCTCACGTCCCACACCACAGTGCCTGGGTCTGACTCCCACCTCCTGCTCCCAGCTCCAGCTTCCTGCTAAGGTGCACCCTGGAAGGCAACAGTAACAGCTCAAGAAATTGGATTGCTGCCACCCATGTGAGAGACCTGGGTTGAGCTCCCGACCCCCAGCACTGACTCAGCCCTGCCTTGGCTTGCAGGGTCGGAGGGGAGGAGGTATTTGGGGAATGAGTCAGCAGATAACAACTCTGTATCTCTCTCTGCCTTTCTTTCTGTTTGTGCTTCTGTTTATTTATTTAGTTTTTAAAGATAACAAGCCTTATCCATGAGCTCAAACGAAAACAAGGCTCTCCGTTCCTTGGTGTGTTCAGTGGAGGAGCACAGGCACACCCCCAGTCTCACTCACGGTACTGCTGGGGCCCCAGGGACATTCTTGTCCATGACTTCTGCCTGGTGTCCTCAAAACACAAGAAAAGTGCTTGCCAATGCCTTGGGGGTGTGTGAGTTGTGCCACTGCAGACCCCGCCTTGCAACCCAGGAAGGACGTAAGCAGAAGTGTTCAGGAAGGCGGGGAGACAAGGTCACGTGCCAGACCCTCCTTAGGCAGTAGACGGCAGCAGATTCTTGCACAAGGAGCTGTGGTTCCCATCAGGGCTGTGTGGAGGGAAATCCTGCCCCGGCATCTAAAACAGCAGATGCTTAGTCTTAATTTGGAGTTTCCCAAAGCCAAGGGTGGGTTCCCAGGGGAACATAAACACAAAGCCAGGAGAGCACATGCCTGCTAAGATTCATGCTACTGATGCCAGATCAGGGAACAGGCGTGGCTGAGAAGGACACGCCTCCCGGTGTGCGAAATATGATGCAATCAGCGGCCTTCTGCGATTGGCCAATCAGCCTGGTGAAGCTCCAGGTCCTACACCTTGACAAAGGGAGGCCTTAGCCCTATCTTGGTGTGGAACTGCAAAGGTTGAAAGCCCTGTCTACCATGGGTCTATCGTAGTAGACAAGCACAGGAACTTCATGGGATGGTTGAGCCCGCCCATATTCGCGTGCCCTCTTG